GACCTGGAAAAAACTAAAGTCTTTGTTTGATTCCTTGTTGCCTTGTGGATGAAGTCGGATTCGGAACGTCAGTTGATTGCCATCGAGCGTATTCGTAGGAACTGGCTGCAAACAAACACAAATTAACAGATACACACATACATACATACATACACACACACACACACCAATATCCAACTGGAATTTAAAGCACGTCATAACACAAGAAAAAACGGCTTGACGGAGCTGTGAAGATGCATCGTGATGGCATCGAATATCCTCCATTCGACTGTGTAAATCTTGGTAATCTCAATCCAAACTCCCTCCACATTCACTCTCCCTAAGAGGCAGAAGCACATAAAAATAGCCTAAAGTGGTAGCAATGCCAACAGCAATCACTCGGTCGATTGTGAGAGTGCTTGAAAACGAGCAGAATTGGCACTCTGACATGCACCGATGGGAATTTATTTCGAGACGAATGAAGGTTTTGTAAGCAGACTGGCTGCTTTTCCATTGGCGGAATCGAATTCTCGACCTTCTGGAAGAGTGCCAAGAAACGAAATACTCATTTGCAAAATTTTACAAACTAGTCTACAAAATTCTCTTCGAAAATTTTGAAGAGACGAAGGAAAAAAGCGGCTGGTACAAAGTTTCTTCAAATTTTTTTTGTGTTAATATCTTGGACGGATGTCTTTTTCACAGCAAAACGATTTTCAGCTGTCCCAATTTGCTCAACGCAACTTTTCTAGTAAGCAATAAGTGCATGTGAATTTGCCGTTGGATGAGAAATATCCGACGAACAAACCGTTTCCTTGATTTTGACGGATGTTTCGAGATAGCGACACTCGCATTGCGAGAAACCACGAATTGTCCAGACGTGTGAGTGTTGCAACGAGCGCACTTCCGTGGTTGACCAGCTATCAGATGGACGTAACGGACCAACAATATCGGCCATGCCTCGGCCACTGGAACCTTCTCAAAACAGATTCACTGTTCACACTCCCCAGCAACAACAGGTGAATGCAGACCCAGTGATCACAGCTAATTAATGAAGCCTGCAGGACCCCGGAGTATAAAAAAATGCCTTTTTGCCGTAGTGCCACTGTTACCGAAGCGGAGCACCTGGAAGTTGAGGTGCCCATCGTGGCCTAACTAGCAGCAGCGAATGTCGAGAGGGGGTGGTAATCAGAAAAAACTGCTGAAGCCTTGGGGGGAAAGGAAAGCTGGCAACCCTTTTACGTGACGGGATAAATGTCAGGATCGCCAAAAACACTTCTGCCGTAAGAAGCAACTAGAAAAGTTACCGCCATGTACCTGAAGAATTGAACTTTGAATAGATATTACAAGTAATAGACAGCAATGCGCACCAGACTAGCCGGTGCGATCATGCGCTTTGTGCAATTCAGTCCACTGAACGATTGCCTGTTAATGATTTTCATGATTTCCACTGCACTTTAGTCTATGCAAAAATAGTTCAAACATTAAAACAGTTAAAAATTTCACGCACCGGTGCATGAAAGCTGAATTCGAAACATCTTGAAAGGTAAATATCTTTCCGTAATTCCCGAGTTAATAGTTTACCCGCCAAAATCTTCACGAGGCCATAGGTGATACTCAAGAGCGCGGGAACGCTGAATTTGAATGGGCAAGGTTGAGCGTGGGCAGTGGATCATTACCCTAAAATTTCAGCTTCCTAGATTCCTTGGTTCCCGAGATATTAATTTACCCGTACAAACTTTCACGGGGCCATACGTGTTACCCGCGGGTACAGGGAAGCTGAATTTAAATTTGCGGGGTCACACGTGGGTGGGGA